AATTGCTTCGGGATCTACAGTATATGATTGCCGTTGTATTGAAATCGACGCTAATATCTCTTTGCTGCAGAAGGATGAAGATCCAACAGTTGGTAGACCACATTTAAACCAAAATTTCCTTGGGCTTTGTCACAGAAAGGTCGGAGAAGAGAGGTCATCCCGTTCCATCCCATAAAGTCGTTCTTTCCATGCCGAGGTTGGGAGGATGAATTTGTCTTCACTGTCTGGTTTTTTCGTGTTTCTTCTTCCCTTCCTCCTCTGTCTGGACATTAAATTCCTTTAGGGGGAATGACCACCCTCCGCTCATCACATCCATGAAAGAGGTTCTCCCTTTCTTGCACAGTCAACTGATTTGGAGTATTCTTCCGAGAACTATATTTTTTGTTTCCGCATGCTTGAAAGCAGGCACATAATTCCACGACGATGTACAGGGCGATTGGAAAGTCCATTCCTTGTTTTTAAATATTTCTAACATTTGTTCCAATAAGAATAAAAATTTATTTCCTGCAGCATTTGAATGTCATTTTTACGGATTTTTTTAATATTTACTACTAGTGTAGTGATTGCATAATAAAAAAAAGTGACGCTGCAGTTGACAGTGGTTGCGCCAAAATTGCAGCGCCATAATGAGATTTGGAGGTCAGTGGTTTAGGTTCAGAGGTAGTGGTAGTGTGAAAATCATAAGTATGAAACTCTTGACCCCAAAACAATTAAAAACAGCCACGACAAGTTTATGGAAACTGGTTCAGTAAAATAAACGGATCGAAATGGATGACCCTCAACAACCTGGACTCCAAAGAAAATCGCGCAGGTGGAATAAGTGTTTTCACGCAACTCTGGAAAATAATGTTACTGTCAGAGCTTTTGTTGAAGCGTAATTGGATTTTTTTTTATTCCATGAAAATGGCTTTCAAATGCTGCAAGAAAGAAGTTTCTATCCGTCTAGGAAGCAAAGCTATGAATTAAAAAAAATAAGGAGTGACTTTTCAATAATCCTGTAGATTCTATGAAGGGTTTCTTTCTGGTTGATGGCTTCACTTTTTTTTGCGGGCGAGGAATCAGACCGTGAGTGATGGGTGTGACTCTCTCCTTCAGATATTCTGCAAAAAAAATTAAGGAATGAAAGATAGCGTCTAAAGCGAGAAGTCTAGAACGTCTAGACGAGAAGTCGAGTTCATCGATAATTGACAGATGACTTCAAGTGACGACTTCACATCGACAACAAATGGCACGACGATCACGGGCTTCGTGCAACAAATTTTCCGTACGCTGTTGTTTTATTGTTTCTGACTTTTGGGATAATCAGTCTATCACTAAAAGAAGATAAGGCCGAAAACTGATCCCGTGATAACTGACTAGCCCGGGGGGGAGGGGTGTACAGGATAAACCCCACAGGTTCCCATGTGGGGTTGTACTGATATGGGATGAGTTGAATTAGAAAGGAATCTAGCGTATGCAACCCATAGGCAATGCGTTCCAGCCCAGAGCTCGCCTCATCTCTTTATGCGAGCATAAATGAAAAAAAAGGAATAAAGTCTGTCATTGAGGGAATATGACGCACGACAAGCGAAAAGGATCAAAACACAAGAAAAGGAAATGTCCGTTTTACCAAATAAAACAGATACTGGAATCTCGAACTCAAGAATGTTTTTCGGCCTTTTGTGCGTTCAGCCTCTTCTCCTTCCGAAAATGTTCATTCGACCCATTTCGAAGTTCGAATTCTGCTTTCGGTGAAATGTACGCCAGCCGATATTTCAGGTTGGTAGTCTGGTTCCCGAGTGGTACGTGGTCCCTCAAATGAAGCAGGATCCTGGGATTCGTTATTCCGAGAATTGTAAAAGCGATTCGTATGTGGATGCTACGATTCGGTGTCTGGCCTACACGTTGCCCTTAGCCAAATTCTTCCTTTCTCCGGCGTGGAGGTCCGAATTGCATGAGGACGGGCGAGGCGCCATGAGTCAACTCGTTGCCAGGACCTTTCAGGCTCTTCTCAAGCATATTTGGAGTCCATCGGAGAGAGAGAAGAGATTGAAAAGTGTTCAAGATGACGCTATCCCTTCTGGAGGGGAACTGAAGCGCATCCTCGGATACGTGAACCCCATCTATCGAGCTCACTGTCACGAAGACGTGTTTCGGTTCCTCCTCTTTCTCCTGGACTGTCTTCACGGAGACCTGGATAGAAATCCACCCGCTCGTGTCGACGAAGAAATCCCAGCCGAGGATCCGGAGGGATATTGGAGGATATACAAACGAAGTCATGATTCCATCATCACTGACCTCTTCTACGGTCTCCAGGAGGAATGCATCGCCTGTGGCCAATGCGGAGAGATCCAGAAGAACTTCGTCGTCATCAACTCCCTGTCCCTGTTCGTTCCTGGATCCTCGGACTGTAACCTATCTGACTGTCTCCAGGGTTACTTTCGACCCGGGTCGGTGAAGGGATTCCGATGCCCTAAGTGTCATGGGACATCTGGGGAGAAGAGGATCGGCCTCCACCGGATTCCCTGCATTTTCATCATCCGATTGGAGCGAGAATGCGAAGATTCTAGTGTGGGATTTCCCCTGGGGGAGCTCACGGTCCAAGGACATGCAAGTTCACCCAATCCCTGGAATTGCGGCAAATACTCCCTCTACGCCGTGTGTAATCGTGCCGGATCGGGTCGCTACACTGCTGTGTGTCAGGCACCTCATGAGGGCAATTGGTACGAGTTCCAGGATGAGGTGATTCATGGGAAAAGAACCCCCGTTCCTCCTCGGGAGATCTGGGATGCCCGAAGGGCATATGTCCTTTTTTATCACAACGTCAGTCACTTGTACTTTCCATGAACATGTTCCATGGATTTACCCTCTCCAGAAATAAAATTCCACCCTATTCTCTCCTTTATTTTCTCCATATCGTCGTCGATGCTCAACGCGACGTGTTTCCTTACAAACACTTCCAAAATGCGCATTGCTCAGAGCCATTAGTAAGTCCTCTTCATGGCTACAGAAAACCAGCCCCATGTGACGGTAACTTAAATTTAGTTATGGTCTCACAAACGTTGCGATTCCTGAATTTTTACTCTAGCAATCCCTACGCATTGTTTTTTTTTTTTAAATAAAGGAAAGTAAGCCAGTTTTATGCTTTCAAGATGCGGAGAAGTGTGGGAAATTTTCGCAAATACATAGTAGTACTGTGCCTGTGGGAAGACAAATACCCTATAACATGAAGTGCTCAGTCTCTTGGACAAAATGCTCCATCTTCATGAGCACTGAGCTCCGAAGTTCTATTGGTAACAACTTACGCAAGAGTGATGTCGATGACAACCTGAAACAAAACACTGTTAAAGAGACCTGAAGCAAGTTTTCATCAAGAATGAGTACCTCCTGTGTATCACTTAATGTCCAAGGGTCAAGGTCGGGCATGTTAATGTCAAAAGTAACTAGTTACAATTAAAAGTATTCAATTCTAGAAGTAATTAGTTACAAATTTAATTCCTTCTCACCAATAGCAACTACCCAGCAAACAAGGCTACGTTGTATCAATGTTCCAAACGTTCATTCAATGTTGATTCAACATTATGTGTTTAAAATTATTTGCTGGGAACCCAGTAAACATAGTAGCGTAGTGGGAACGTTCCGCTGGGGCCAATACAATGGCAACAGTGAAGGTCCAAGTCCAAGGATGCATGAATGTCTTGGCAGTGTTATGGCATAATGATACGAGGGATACATGATATGGTTATTCCAACAGATGGCAGGTGCCTTGAAAGAGGTAGTTTTTATGCAAGTCAAAATTAAGGGATACAGCAATCTTTTGGGAGAATCTCCCAGTTGGTAACGTTTTGGCAAGCAAGTGTGCCCTTCAGCATAATGGCCCCTGGGACAATTGATACCTTTATATCGAAATGGATCAACATGCAATATGCAACAGATATGGGATACCCAATGAGGCCATTCATCCACAGAATGTACTGGTTGACATAATTTTTCTGATATCCATGCAAACTGACTTCCATTAAGCCAAATTGTTATTTCATGTGCATCTGGGCTTAGGGAACATTAGCCCATCTGTCTCTAAAAACAGCAATGTATTTGCACCCATAGAGGTTTCTGAAGAAGTAACAGGCAAAAATCTCATCACACAAACTTGAATTGGGAGTACACAGAACCTGTTGAAACTAGTAGAAGAGCTTATAATATTGAGAGGCTGTCTTTCTGCCGAGAGATCCTCAGACTTAGGTCATGCATAAAGCTTCACTGCCTTGGCACTTGATTACAGCTACTACAAACCTGGGCTCTTCCATTATCATCTGAGATGATAAAATGAGTTTTCATCATGTTTAGGGAGTGATTGTCACTTATGCTTCATGCAAAGGACACTTCATTTTTATAATGGCATGATCTAAAATCCAGAAACAGAAGGCAGGATGAAAGAGCACACAGGGGGGCTACGATGTATTTGCTGCAACAGCCTCTTTCATTTCCTGCAAGAACAAGATTAAATGCAACTTTTTGAATTGGCAGTAGACACTCAAATTATATGGCCTCAATACATCAGCAACTATGTCAAAATGTTCTAAATCAATGTTACAGACATCTTAGATTACTTATAGTACAAAAATGTTATGGGACTGTTTACATACCAACAGATATATACTGTAGGCCTATGCCCTAGGTCAAAATGTACCATGTTCAGCAACAAAGTCTGAAAAAAAAGTATACACTGATCTACATACATTTTTACTATCATGAAGACCACAGACAGGTCAAATGAATGCTTCACACTCTACAGCCAAACTACTTCATACCATCTATCATGCCATCAAAAGAATTTGTGTAAGCCATTCACCAACCACAGTAGGGGATATTTGAGTCAACTAGTGATGCATAAGAGAGCAGGCAGACAAGAAACTTCCAACATAAATTAGCTGATAACCTCAGTGCACAGAGGGGATAGGACCAGAATGATTACACCTCCCAATAGCAATCTAAGTGTTACTTTCATTCTTAATTTTTATTCATGGAAGTGCTAGGGTGGTATTTACCTGAAAGGCAGCCACCAGTGCAGAGAGCTGAAGCTTCTCATTCCCACCACTAGCAACATGTTCTTCAATCTGACTCAACTTCTTCAGCAACTGGATTCGCACTCTTGCCGGGAACTCAACTGTAAAGACATGAATGAATATGCATCATACCAATTATTGACAAATGGCAAAGTTACAAGAATTTTTATCCAAGAAAGCTGAAACTCACTTCGATGTGAATAAGAATGCACTTGTGTGAGGATGTCTGCAAGGGCCAGTCCTTTGCTAGTTTTCAACACAGTTATTTCTGAATCGCTTGCTCAGGAAAATATGGAGTTAGAAGTATTATCAACCAATTTTTAAACATTGTGCTTCAAGAATCATCAACCTCAACTTAAAATGCCATCTGGCATCTAAAGAATCATGTTAGAGCTTATTCGACACTAGCCAGAAAGTATAATCACAGTATAAAAAGAAGGCACATGAGAATTAAACATTTCCTCAATATTTTTTCAATATTGATTTTCATTTCAGTCTCAAATTCAATACCAGTAATTCAATCAGTCTTAGGTCTGGCAGTTGGGAATTCTCATCTGCATGAAGTACCAAGTTCTCATTGAGAAAATAATCTGTCATAATAAGTATTACTTTTTGAAAGACAAGGATATTCCAGAAAGAAATAGAGTTTTGTTAGCTTATTAGTAGCTGATAAATATATGTATTCATATACCTAAGGCTGCCAATTAAATGAGAATGGAATAGTGATGTGAATCAGTCAAATAGGTCATGATAAATAGATTACATTTTTAATCAATTATGAGATCTAGCACTAATAGAATTGCATCACAATGCTATACTCCTTTTTAAAATTTTAAATTTGCCTTTCCTATTCCTCAAAAAAGAATTTGTAAGATCCATAGAGAAAACAAGAGTTCACAAAAGTCAACCAATTGATCAAGTTGAGCTTCCTTTCTTTGAAAACGAGTCAGGTTCCTTTTGCAAGTTATTACCTCAAAACCTAGACTTATTTATATTGGAAATATTTTAATGACAAAATTTGTTAGTTGAATATTTTTGAACTCTTGGAAACGAACATTATAGACTGGATGGCTGCCCCTCCTCTGTTCTAACAACCACCTCCATTCACAATGTTTTCAGACATTCTCCACCATACTTTTCCTTTATCTATAGTAGGTAGCACCTATACTTTGGCTATGGAAGAACAAGTGGTTTCATCATATATAACCTCAGGACCATATCAGGGAAAACTTGTGACTATTTTTTCTTTATTGGAAATTAACTGAGATGGATAGTATCAAATTTTTAGGTGGAAAATCAAAGCTGCTTTTCTAGGAGTTGGGATGGATCACAAATGAAGTGCAATTTCATAGATTCTGCATTTCACAGCACCAGCATAGAGAAAACATTACTATTTATTTATTCTTTGATGGCATGATATGCTATTATAGCACTTGTTGAGGTGACAAACTGATAACCCCATCTTGAGTTAGCAGTCCAAGTTCATAATCAAGAGGGCATCATCACAAAATACAAACTAGAGTTGAAAGTCTGAGTAATGTTCAGCTTAAGAGGTGAGGGGGACCACCTTTCACGAGGCCACATAGAAACAGAAAGGATACTTTCCAGAGCAATGGAGAAAGATTCATTGAGCATCCATGTAATGAGATTGGAGATGTCAGAGGGTGTCGGTGCACCCACACATGTATACACAGAATCCTCATCCACCTCTGGGAATGCCATTGTACAGCTCTGCAGGATGTTCAATGCCTTCCTCATGTCTCCTGTTGCCAGGTCCATTATTGCTCTCACACCACCCTCAGTAATCTGCACACTGGTAAAATTAAACATGAGGTCACCTCTCACAAACTTGAGGTCTTCAATGTTGAACAATTGCTGTTACAAACTTCTCCTCTTGAATGATGTGACTGAGACGTGGCAACATCTGGTCAGGAGAAACAGGGCCAAAGCGGAATCGTGTGCAGCGACTCTGAAGGGCCGGTATGATTTTGCTCAAGTAGTTACAAATCAGGCAGAATCTCACATTATCTGTGAACTTCTCAATCACTAGAAAAAGAAAGCAATAAAATGAATATACAGGCTGGTCCTAAAGTCAGCAGGCCTATTGGGGGCATCACAATAAGTAGAAATGCATATGCATAGATCTATACCTTTAGGAACCTGTGCATCTCAAACCACATGACTTAGTCTGCATCATCCCTGTAGGGATGATGCAGGCTAAGTCATAGGGTTTGAGATGAGGGTTCTAGGAGGCACTGATGGATACCTGCCTGCAGTCTATGGAGCAATGGATAGACCTGGTGCAACCTTATCACTAGAGATTTGCTGGGCAGCTGTTGTGAATGTTACATCCAGAATAGAAAAGTTGTTGAAAGTGGTGGGGTCAAAATGAAGGCCTATTATATTGGCACCCCCTATAACCCTCATCTTAAACCAATGACTTCATTTGAATTGTCGCTTGGATATAACCCTGAATCTTCAACCCTGTATACTGATAGCTCTCACTTGGATATAACCCTGAATCTTCAACCCTGTATACTGATAGCTCTCACTTGGATATAACCCTGCTTGCTCTCAATAGGTTTCCTGACTGTATGTTAACCCCCCCCCCCCCAAGCATGTGCAATGCCATATGCCACTCAGAACCTGGTTTTAAGAAAAGTCATGCTTAGGGGGGTAAAGCTTAAAATTGTACCAGTCAATACTGCACTTCTTCTCATTGTATCACCAGACATTACTTTTAAAACAACAACTGTGCATGCATCCATGCAGGCACAAATAGGCTCCTCTTCCATACATAAGGATATGATCATATGACCTGCAGTGTAACCCATGGGAACCAGAAATAGAAGATGGAGAGAAAAAAATCACTCATATATAATTTATAAGAATCTTAGCGGAGCTTCAAGTTACCACTTTCTTTATAAGAAAGGAAAGAAAACACCCTAATTTCAGACTGATTTTGGTTATCATTATCATGATGTATTTTATGTAACAAGCATTTTTTAAATCATAAAGGTCTGGTTTTTATTGGACAGCCTTGCGTCCAGAGATTATCATCATTAATGCATGTCTCAATTTTCACAAAGATGTGAAACTCTTTTTCATCAATGCTCACCTCGTCGTAATGCATTTTGAGCATCAGAAGTCATGGCATCAGCTTCATCCAAGATGATTAGCTTTAAACCAGATCGGAAGATCGTTTTTGTGGAGGCAAAGCTGAGGATTCTGTTCCTAACCACATCAATTCCTCGATCATCAGATGCATTCAGTTCCATCACCTGTCATCATTGGGAAATCAAATCAATGACATTTTAGAGCACAGAACTTACAGGCCCTAATTTGACATCTAATTCTATACTATGACCTCAAGTTTTACCAAAACATGCCTACAATTTGAATAAGCAATTTACTTATAAAAATACACACACTAGAAACATTTGAGTTTCTTGAACACCTTCCATTCATAATAAACATGACACATCCCATGCATTTACACTGAAAACTAAGCATAATCCATGCATCTTTGGAAAATAGGAAATAAGTCTGCTAAGATGCCTTGCCTAGTTTTAGTCTTGCACATTTTCTCAAATTAGGACCTAGCTTTTCAATAGAAAATCAGGATTTCATTCAGTGTTGAATACTGGTCCTCTTTTCGCAATAAGACATCAGGAAAAAACCCCTAAGAGATCAGTCACTTAGAGCAGCGGTTCTCAACCTTTTCGATCCCATGGCCCACCTTAATGACTGCAAAGTTATCCAAGGCCCACTACAGACTTAAAAGCTATTTAATTTTTATTTGCATATTTGTTAATTGTAATCTTAATATTTACAGATACTTGTTGTGGCCCACCCGGGGCACCTCCATGGCCCATCAGTGAGGGACATACCAGTTGAGAACCACTGACTTAGAGGACTAAAGGAAACCAAAGAAACCTTTAAAAAAATAAGATACTTGGGAAAATTGCATCATTTAATGGACTATGCATTCATCCAACCACAACATGTGCTTGGTGATAGATGCATGCCTACCATTGAATGGAATTGTTTTCCAGGGTAGAGCTGCCGAGCACAGGCAAGTATGGTTGAGGTTTTACCACTTCCAGGGGGGCCATAAAAAAGAAGATGGGGTAAACGATCTTCCTCCACAAACCTGGAAACTATAGGCAAATCAAAATAATAATAAAAAAGAATTATGCTTACTCTTTGTCCCATGTAACATCTAGAATGGCATGATAGCAAGAATGGAAAATACCCTTGGTCTAGACCATCATTCCAGTCAATACATTTACCTTGCTCTTGTTTCCAGTTCACCTACTAGAATTATTTTACAGCCTAATTTGATAACTCATGACCCTGCTATGCTATACCCAAACATAGTAAATACTACATATAAAGGTGTTTCAATAAAGCTTGTATCATCCAGTTCATAAATTTTTACCCAGTAAAACAGTAGGACTCTTTTGCTTCAGATTTGGGGATAAGATTAAGAAAATGGTCCTGTACAAATAGCCACTACCTTCAGTTTTAGGACTTACTTGTGTTTATGATATCTTGATGTGAGATGAGGTCACCAAGAGAGGCAGGCCGATACTTCTCTACCCTGTAAAATGGAGGGGAAATCAATCTCAGTAGGTTGATAGAGAGCCATAACTTATCTCAAGCTTCAAAAAAGAGTTTGACTCTGCCTAGAAGCAAAGTTCAGTCTATTTGTCCCTGTCACATGGTGTTATTTGAGCTTGAGATTTTTTATTCCACTTTGATGATTCCATTGCTCTACCACAAACTGCTCTTAAATTTTCATGGGATATATACCAAGAGAGGATAAGTCTATTACTCTATTTGATAGGTCTAGGCCTTGCCTTAATACTGAGCAAAGCAGGTCTATTAATGTAGGCTAATCTAAAATTCCTGAATTTGTAACAAGATTATAGGGAACTAACCATGGCAAGCTGGCACCCTTGGTCATTCTGGTTCTGATCCGGGGACAAGTGTTTTATGTGTCTGAAATGGAATGTGTCACAAGATTGGAGTTTTACCTCCTTTCAATCCCTTAACATATATCTGCCTTTCACAGAATTATATAGGAAATTAATTTCTTACATGCATGCCATAGCCAACTTCTCCTCTCTCTCTACTTACATCTACAGGGTGTATCTTTACAACTTCAAACTGTAATAAAAAATGAATGAAGTTAGATACAATAATGTGGTTTGCTGCATGTGAAAGAACATCTCTCAAAGTTTTTTATTGACATGTGTTTTTTCTTTTCTAGGTGTTTGTAATGCATGACATCACTTTTACTGCAAATGGCCTCCCCACAAATAAACTCATTGTGTTGCCTGGTTTATAGAGACCAAATCAGAAACACAGGTTCAACAAAAGGTCAGGACCACCATTGAGACCTCCATAAATGTGGTGTGCCAAGTTTATAGCACACAAAGTTTATGGAGACTGGTAGTGTCCTGCAGAGGAAGGGGGCAGACCAACCAAGCATAAGTGCTGAGGGTGTTGAATGTGTGTGTGAGGCATTCGAGCACAGGCCCTGTAAGTCCATTCGGACTGCCGCCAGGGAGTTGCAGCTACCTCCCCCCAATGGTACATAACATGCTGCACAAGCACCTGCAGCTGTATGTGTAGAAGGTGCAGCTGGTGCAGGCACTTAAGCCAGATGACCTACCATGATGCTTGGCATTAGCTATGGGCATTTTGGACCGCTTGGACGATAATGAGCTGTTCCTACGGCATGTTCTCTTCTCAGATAAAGCAACTTTTCACGTTTTGGGGATGGTCAGAAGACAACATTGAGATTTCGAGCTCTAAAGCAGGGTAACAGACTGCACTTTTTCTTGTGAGAACGCCATTTGCAGTAAATGTGATGTCGCACATTACAGGCGAAAAATAGGTTAGAAAAAACACATGTCAATAAAACTTTGAGAGATGCTGTTTCACATGCAGCAAAACACATCATTGTATCTAACTCCATTTTTTATTACAAGTTGAAGTTGTAAAGATAATTTATATACATCCTGTATAATGCCTCTTATTAAACTTCTTTGGAGATTGATTATGGGTCACCCCATCTCTATATTACATTACAAACTCACTAAGCCTAATGCTTTCATCTACCATCTACATCTACACACTCATGATGGAAGTCCAGAAGAGTAGTTTAAGTTATAACAAGCCAAATAATGTAATTTATAATACAGGGTATGTTCATCTTGGTATCAATCCAAGGCGGTCCTTCGGATTCTTTGGGAGCCTTTAAAGGTCATTGGGTTAGGTTAGTGCCTCGGGCCTTGGCTACATAACATTAAAATACTTGAGGAAGCCCAAAAGGCAATGAAGTGACCCCAGCAAGATAACATTAACAAGATAACATTTTATAAGATTCACAATTGCGTGGCACATTCATCAATGCATCCTAGCTTTCTTGCGGCTCAGAACGAATGTGATCAGCTGTCACTACGTCATGCCTCCATGCTAAAAGCAAATGTGATCAGCAGTGATAACATTGCAAAGAACGCCAACCTCGACGACCTAGACCTAAGTCTGTCCTATGGGAGTAGAAGAGTCATGGATTTCTTCACGTTAACTGGATCTGATACATCCAGAACGCTATCAAAGCTATTCCTGCAGCCAAGGCCAGTTCCCCTTCTGGGACAAAGCCTCCACCACAATACTACTATGGAGCGCGTGAGTGCGTCGCCATCGCCCAACATGGTTGTCAAAGGTTGAGTTGACTCCCAAATCTCTTTGCTTAATTCTGCTTTGTAAAAGTTAAATGCTTAATTTTCCTGCCTCCGAAGAGGATGCTATTATCGAGTGACATTGATGTGATCAAAGATTGCCGACATCCCCGAATTCCCTCTCGACCCAATGCCTACTTCCAAATGCATTACTCAACATTATGGTTGCCACCATTTAATTTAACAAAATACGGACATGTGGAAACATGGACAAATACTCCAAGTATACTTTCGTATGCAGCTATGCTGCAAATGCCCACAGTCACTTTAATTTAAGGCACCAATCAATGCTATAAGGTTGTGGCCTACTGCTTTTGACTCACGGAAAAGGGCGGTATTGAATGCTATAAAGCTTTGCTAATTAAAAAAAAAAATCTTACGTTTAAAATATAAACAAAACGGTATCCATGCTAAGACCAGTTTGTAGTATGGACATTGTATCTGAAATATGTGCTGTCCATACTAATTATGAACGGGTGGCAACCCTACTCAACATTTGGAGTATATCACTGCCAGTGTTGATCGGTAACGAAGTGAAAGCAACTGGTTAAGTAACTAATTACATTTTACTTTTTTCAGTGGTAGCAAGTTCCTTTTTTCAGGTACTAATAATGGAAGCAGTATCTAAATCCATTTCCAAGGAAAATCTCTGTGGCGTCACGGCAACGCGTTACTTTTATTTAAGACCGAACTTCAGATAAAAATGACTTTATTACCTATATCACAATCCACAAAATTTATGGTAATCCACTTGAGTGGTGTATATGAGCTAAATAATAATTATCATTGCAGCAATGATGAAAGAAGACCTGTAGAAGTGTGTGAATGGTATAACCGGGGAGAAGGTGATGCGTTGAATCCCACACCCCTAGGGTGTGGGGTGTGGGATTCACACACACCCAGTGGCATACCAAGGACCATACCAAAATGGGAGGGGGGAACCTAGGAGAACCGGAGGTTGGACTAAAAACTACTCTAGCCTCCCGTCAACAGCCAGAAATTATTTCCCAGGAGATAGGAGGAGGGGGGGACTGACGGAGGTCACGAACCGACGAAGACGTCCAGCATGTGCTGAATCTGGTGCGTTCCGAAAGGAATATCATAGTCAGAGAGGTAGCAGAGGAGACTCAACATGTCAATCGGTACATGCCATCCTCACCCAAGATTTTGGCATGAAGCGCGTCTCCACAAAGCTTGTTCCGCGCCTTCTCACTGCTGAAAAGAAGCAGCAACTCGTCAGCGTTTGTCAGGATCTGTTGACCGGTGCCGCAAACAATCCTCACCTGTTTTGTAACATCAACAGGGGCGATGAAACATGGATTTACGGCCCGAAGCCAAACGCCAGAGTTCGCAATGGGAGACAACAATTTAACCGAGACCCAAAAAGGAGCGACAGCAAAAGTCGGAAGTGAAAGTGAAGCCGACCGCATTCTTTGACTGTGGGACTGGTTCATCACGAATTCATACCGGAGGGTGAAACGGCGGACCAGGCTTTCGACCTGGGTGTCCTGAATTGCCTTCGGGACGTCGCACGCAGGAAAAGTCGACAGAAGTGAGAGGCCAAAACGTGGGTTTTTCAACACAATGCCTCGGCCCACACCATCCTCTCCGTGCGACAGTTTTTAGCGAAGAATGGCATCCCTTTTCTCGACCATCCGCCTCACTCGCCTGAATTGACTCCATGTGACTTCCATTCTCATCTCAAAGTTGAAAGCACCGCCGAAGGGGAGGAGGTTTGAAGACATGGAATCGATCAGAAATAACGTGACAAGAGCGCTTCAGGGGATTACAAATGAGGAATACTACGGGAGCTTGTAGGAACGCTGGACAAAGTGTCTGCACGCCCAAGGGAACTACTTTCAGGGAGACAGCTACCCATAAGTAGCATCCCCATACGTTACATCGTAATCTCAAAAAGGAACCAGTCCCTGAACTTTTTAAACATATATTGTATACTTAGTACTGATTGTCATTAATCGGTGGCCGCTTCAACTATAATAGCAAAAATTGTGGAAACAGTCTTCTCATTCCCTCTTGCATCATGTTTTTTAGATCAATCTTTTCCAAATACAATCCCAGCCTGTATTTGAGTTCGACCCCCAACCTTCACGGTAATATATCCAATATTTCTTAAGATATCGTCAAGCAACTAAAGAGAAGATAGAAAGCCAAATAGATGGTGCGGGACGATACGAAAGTTAAATTTTAAAGAAAGTACATAGCGATGTTTCGTCTCTTTTTTCCTGGAAAGGACTACTAAAAGCCATACATTTCCGGATCATTCACCGTTTACTGCTGGATTCCTATTTAATATGGATGGCCAAACCGCGACTGGCGAGCAGCATGCAGCTCTCGGGCAGTTCAAGTGTGACACGCGGTGAAATACTCGAGACTCTTGGTAGTTCTCAAACTTTTCAGTGTCACGACCCATCGAGCCCTCTTCCCTTATTCATGCCACCCACAAATTTAGAAGCGTCCAGAAATAATGCAGCCGTGTGACTTGAAAAAAAAAAAATGATTGAATATTTTAATTCCGGAATTGAAGCTTTCAATATTTTGCTCTGAGCACAGGTGATAACTTCATTATTTAGTTTTTTGTTTTTACCTTTTTGATAAGGTAAATCTTTGATCTTTTAACTCTGACAGAGTTCGACTGGCTTCAATGTTTCAATGATTTCGATCATCTAAACACCGCTTCAATTTTGAAGACCACGTGGATGCATTGGCCAGCAGTTCACCACAAACTATGAATTCTATCTTCATACTTTCTGACTTTGCGATACCACTTGAATAATTATTTTTTCCGGATTGTTACTACCTGTAGTTTTGACTTTTTAATGGAGGAAAGCCGACTTCTGTCTCGGCGATTTTACCAGGGGCATTACCATCAGTACCAGCGCTTGCTCGCGGTTTTATTAGGAAACGATCTACCTGCATCTGAATGCTAATTAAGGAACTACAGGAAATTATGGATGAGATGAACTACATCAACCTCCCTCTCCCCTCCCCCCCCCCCCCCCCCCCACCCGGGCCCCC